TTTTTTATATATTTTCTGCTTTCATGTTAATTTCAGTTAAATTTTTTGTAATTGTATTTTTGTTTTTAAATGTGTCCATACTTTAATCTCTATATATATTTTTTTATTATTATTTATTTATTTTTATTATTAATGTTTTTGTTAACCACTTTTGGTTATTTATTTATTTTTTAAGATGCCCTTGTTACAGTGTAATTACACAAATAAGTATTGAATAATATTAATGAACAACATGTACACATAGGGTGTTAGGTTTAGGTTTAGGGTTATTTGTTTGTAAATATGCATTATTTGCTGTTATTATCATAGTAAGTACATGCAACATGTGACAAGGACACCATAAAATAAAGTGTTATACCACTTTTTACAATGTTCATATGCTTGCATTCTTCCAGTTATTAAAAAATAAAGGTCAATCTCATGAAATCTTTCAAAAACATGATAATTTTGGATATACTTTAAATCAACCTCTAACAACCACAACAGACACACACACACACAACAATATAATATAATATAATAAAACACAATTTACATAATGTATTACACCAGTGAAATGAATGAATCCTTAAACCCAACCTCTGACAGTACACCAGTAAATACAGTTCTTCCATCAGGTGACGTAAAAGGACATATACACAGTGCAGAATTATAAATCACAACAGCACATAAAATCTCAATCTCATTTGTTTTGTTCATGTAAACAGGTAAACCGTATGCTGGGTTTAACCCCACAGCATAAGCAGAATATAAATATTTCATGTCATCAATTTTAGCTGTGATTTGCAATCAGCAGATGCGTTTCTTCTGTAGTGCACTAATAGCAGGCCATATATATTCATGTTTATGATCATATTTTATATCGATATACCACTTCTGTGATGTTAAAAGTATGTTACAATTACTGAAAACATTGTGGGACAAGTATGATACATTACGGCAATGCTAACTATATTACCACTGCTCTAAAGAAGCAGAAAAAATTGTTAAGATATATATAAATTTCATATCTGGGACTCTTTATTTCTCTTGATTGTTGAGCAGTTATACAGTCAGAAGGGACATAAATTCAATATTTATTCAGCGCTTTTTGAAAGGCCTCTGAAGGCTTTTGTTGGGTGATCTAATTAATGAAATAATATGTTGATTTTCTAGGTTTGGGTCCCCGAGAACAGTCACTGAGACTAAGAGAATATTTACTTCCTTTTGGGACTCTGGGCTTGTATTTTTTTGTATTTTTTTACGCTGGCGGCTTTGTAGTTTGCGTGGCTTCCTGGCGTGGCTTTTCCACAGACAGCTCGACCACATTTCAATATCTCCTGTGAGAATCGTCTTCTTTATTGTCTGCTCTCATGAGCTAACGCTGCTCTAGGAGAGAAATCCTGTTTATTAAGAAACCCTCCAGCAATGAGAGCCGTTTCGGAGCACTTAAAGAGAGACACGTGTAGTGCTTGTGCGCGCAGTCTATTTAACAGCAAAACACATAAGTATAACAAGCAATACTCTACATTAATGTGCTCATGTTACTTATAGTACATGCTATTATAATTAATAATAATAAAAAACAACAAGAACCATGTGTAATTACAAGCTGCTCAAATAATTAATGATTCATTACATGTTGTCCATTAGTATTACTCAGTGCTTAACTATATGATTATACTGACAGAAACATTAATGGAAAATGTGGCCATATCAATGAAGAAAAATAAATAAATATACACTGGTAGCCAAAATGTATAACAACACACCCCATACTCAAGTGACCCTAAGTATATGATTAAATGAAGGTTTGTCCAAAAAAAAAATATATATATATATATATACTTAAACGATCATTTGATTACTGCCTATGCAGTACATTAAATCTATTGATATGTCATCATAAAACTGCTCCCAAGTGCCGTTAAACCAATCTAAACATGTGACAGTGATCTGACACAGAGATGAAACACTCCGCTAATACACAGAAGCGGTTCAGCTCAGCCGAGAGGGGGCGCTGTTGAGATTTGAAACCGCTTGTCCGCTCGCATGTAAGGGCTTCCCGGACACGTTTTGTGGGACAGTGGAGAAAAAAAAATCAAATAAATTAATATATTCACATTAAAACAACATAAAGACGCGTACTCTGTTGAAACCATATGGCCATTTTAATTGCTTTAGTAGTTACATCTGTCGCTAATATATTCGTCGTGTACTTTTTTCTCTCCAATGTGTCTGAGAAATATTAATAATAGCTCAAGCGATAACGTAGGCTAATTAAAACATTACTTGCGTGAAATTTATGGACTTTAATATGGTCTATACGTGGTTTCTTATAAGAAATTTCAATAATATTGTAGTTTAAACAAGCATCGTAGCCTAAGTGTAAATTATCTTTTTAATGTTATTAATATATCACTTATGTATAAATCAGTATGATCATTGCATACTGTCAGATCGCTTTATTTTAAACAATAGGCAATGTGAAAAAAAAATGCAATGAATGAAAAGATGTGCAAAAGCTTTACCTGCTTTAAACGCCAAACCAAAAAAAAATCGCTGTCCCTAAAGAGTTAAAGTCGTCGTTTAGCTCTCTGTCAGTTCTGACAGTTCGGAAAACTTTTGTTTCTTCTCTAGTATGTAAATTGACCCTCGGATTCAGCGAGCCTATTGGCTACGAGTCCGAGTCAATTTCGTATTTCAAACCTGACGTCAGGGCGGCTATAAAACTCAGCATTGCTTTTATACTCCTATGCTCGGTGATCCTTTAAAAACTCTAGAACAAGCCCGGAGTACTTTTTTTTTTTCTCCAGCCAAGCGTCCAATTGCCAATCACATACATGTTACGGTCTTCATTTCAACGAAACTATTGAGAGAGAAAAAGAAAGAAAGAAAGAACAAATCCACGCAGCCATGCAGTGTTAAATGTTTGCGACTCAAACGCGTCGACACTCGCGCACAAAGAGAGAGGAACTGGAGACGCGCGCGCTCCTGCGTCTGTGCGCGAGAGGCGAATTAAAAAAATAATAATAAATCGGCGCTCGCGAAACCTTTTCTTTGCTTTTGAAGAATTGAATAAAGAAATCAAGCTGGCTCACGCTGTCTCGAACCCGACCACTTTGACAGCTGCTCTTCACCCCCTTTGGAGGACTGTCAACAGCAAAAGGATGGCATCAGAACTGGCAATGAGCAGCTCCGACCTGCCCACCAGTCCCCTGGCCATGGAATATGTTAATGACTTCGATCTGATGAAGTTTGAAGTGAAAAAGGAGCCGGTGGAGCCCGATCGCAGCATCAGCCAGTGCAGCCGCCTGATCGCCGGGGGATCCCTGTCTTCCACCCCGATGAGCACGCCTTGCAGCTCGGTTCCCCCTTCTCCAAGCTTCTCGGCGCCCAGTCCGGGATCCGGGAGCGAACAGAAGGCGCACCTGGAGGATTTCTACTGGATGACCGGTTACCAACAGCAGCTCAACCCGGAGGCTTTGGGCTTCAGCCCCGAGGACGCGGTGGAGGCGCTGATCAACAGCAGTCACCAGCTCCAGAGCTTCGACGGCTATGCTAGAGGGCAGCAGTTTACCAGCGCAGCCGGCGCGGGAGGCGCCATTGCCGGCGAGGAGATGGGATCCGCCGCCGCGGTGGTCTCCGCGGTCATCGCGGCCGCCGCAGCCCAGAACGGCGCGCCGCACCACCACCACCATCACCACCACCACCACCCGGGCGGGCACCATCCGACGCCTGGCGTGCAGTCCAGCGGCAACCCCGCCAGCCACCAGCACATGCACCTGGACCTGGACGATCGCTTCTCGGACGAGCAGCTGGTGACCATGTCCGTGCGCGAGCTCAACCGACAGCTCCGGGGGGTCAGCAAAGAGGAGGTCATCCGGCTCAAACAGAAGAGGAGAACCCTCAAAAACAGAGGCTATGCCCAGTCGTGTCGCTACAAGCGGGTCCAGCAGAGGCACGTCCTGGAGGGCGAGAAGACCCATCTGCTGCAGCAGGTGGACCACCTCAAGCAGGAGATCTCCAGACTGGTGCGCGAGAGAGACGCGTACAAAGAGAAGTACGAGAAGCTCATCAGCAGCGGCTTCAGAGAAAATGGATCCAGCAGCGACAACAACCCGTCGTCCCCGGAGTTTTTCATGTGAGTTTACCGGCACTTAATATAGAGCAGCGATGTGCAAAAGTTGCGTACGCGTGTTATTCTCTCGTTGTGTTGGATTGGGCGCACGCGGGGCAGTCACGTTTTCCTCTCACTTTTATTATTATTATTATTATTTTTTATTATTTTTTTTAAATGTAGATACATTTAATCCAGTGATGAAGAAATCGAGCTTTAGAGCTTAGCCCACGCAACTTTTGCTCTCCGCTTTTGGACAATAATAAGACATTTTCCATCGCCGAGTTGTTATGATTTTGTTTATTCTGTTGAAACTGTAATATGTGAACGTATACTTTCATTTGATACTTCCTCATGTTGTCCTACGCCTCGTGTTGCGTAACTTTTAACTTCACATTTTTGTAAAGTTCAAGTGACACTTGCTGGTTACATGAGGGCACTGTACACTGAAAGCATGGAGAAGTGTTTGAACTCATGTCGAGTGTCTAAACAGACTCATTTCCCTCATAAACTGAGCGAGACTGACATTGTTTCATTCGAACTCCATCACATTTTGTGTTGTTGTGAAGAACTCACTCAATAATGTATTTATTTGTGTGTCGGACGCGATATGTCGAGCCCACATGCTGGTCATGTTGGCTGACGATGCTTTGTGTTTCTTTTCCCTGAACGAACTGAACTGAAACGCTCCGATGTTACATTCATTTTCTCATTGTCTGGTCCTGTCCACATTTTTGGGACTCTGAGCAAAAAAGTGACATATTTTCATCCTTTACATGAAACATTGCCTCCATGATTCTTGCGACAAAGTCCTGTCATTTTTGTACAGCAATTTTAGTGATGAAACATGTGTTTTGGCAAGAAGAGTGATTCTGTATGATATGCTCGGTGATCCTTTAAAAACTCTAGAACAAGCCCGGAGTACTTTTTTTTTTTCTTCAGCCAAGCGTCCAATTGCCAATCACATACATGTTACGGTCTTCATTTCAACGAAACTATTGAGAGAGAAAAAGAAAGAAAGAAAGAACAAATCCACGCAGCCATGCAGTGTTAAATGTTTGCGACTCAAACGCGTCGACACTCGCGCACAAAGAGAGAGGAACTGGAGACGCGCGCGCTCCTGCGTCTGTGCGCGAGAGGCGAATTAAAAAAATAATAATAAATCGGCGCTCGCGAATCCTTTTCTTTGCTTTTGAAGAATTGAATAAAGAAATCAAGCTGGCTCACGCTGTCTCGAACCCGACCACTTTGACAGCTGCTCTTCACCCCCTTTGGAGGACTGTCAACAGCAAAAGGATGGCATCAGAACTGGCAATGAGCAGCTCCGACCTGCCCACCAGTCCCCTGGCCATGGAATATGTTAATGACTTCGATCTGATGAAGTTTGAAGTGAAAAAGGAGCCGGTGGAGCCCGATCGCAGCATCAGCCAGTGCAGCCGCCTGATCGCCGGGGGATCCCTGTCTTCCACCCCGATGAGCACGCCTTGCAGCTCGGTTCCCCCTTCTCCAAGCTTCTCGGCGCCCAGTCCGGGATCCGGGAGCGAACAGAAGGCGCACCTGGAGGATTTCTACTGGATGACCGGTTACCAACAGCAGCTCAACCCGGAGGCTTTGGGCTTCAGCCCCGAGGACGCGGTGGAGGCGCTGATCAACAGCAGTCACCAGCTCCAGAGCTTCGACGGCTATGCTAGAGGGCAGCAGTTTACCAGCGCAGCCGGGGCGGGAGGCGCCATGGCCGGCGAGGAGATGGGATCCGCCGCCGCGGTGGTCTCCGCGGTCATCGCGGCCGCCGCAGCCCAGAACGGGGCACCCCACCACCACCACCATCACCAGCACCACCCGGGCGGGCACCATCCGACGCCCGGGCTGCAGTCCAACGGCAACTCCGCCAACCACCAGCACATGCACCTGGACCTGGACGATCGCTTCTCGGACGAGCAGCTGGTGACCATGTCCGTGCGCGAGCTCAACCGACAGCTCCGGGGGGTCAGCAAAGAGGAGGTCATCCGGCTCAAACAGAAGAGGAGAACCCTCAAAAACAGAGGCTATGCCCAGTCGTGTCGCTACAAGCGGGTCCAGCAGAGGCACGTCCTGGAGGGCGAGAAGACCCATCTGCTGCAGCAGGTGGACCACCTCAAGCAGGAGATCTCCCAGCGGCAACCCCGCCAGCCACCAGCACATGCACCTGGACCTGGACGATCGCTTCTCGGACGAGCAGCTGGTGACCATGTCCGTGCGCGAGCTCAACCGACAGCTCCGGGGGGTCAGCAAAGAGGAGGTCATCCGGCTCAAACAGAAGAGGAGAACCCTCAAAAACAGAGGCTATGCCCAGTCGTGTCGCTACAAGCGGGTCCAGCAGAGGCACGTCCTGGAGGGCGAGAAGACCCATCTGCTGCAGCAGGTGGACCACCTCAAGCAGGAGATCTCCAGACTGGTGCGCGAGAGAGACGCGTACAAAGAGAAGTACGAGAAGCTCATCAGCAGCGGCTTCAGAGAAAATGGATCCAGCAGCGACAACAACCCGTCGTCCCCGGAGTTTTTCATGTGAGTTTACCGGCACATAATATAGAGCAGCGATGTGCAAAAGTTGCGTACGCGTGTTATTCTCTCGTTGTGTTGGATTGGGCGCACGCGGGGCAGTCACGTTTTCCTCTCACTTTTATTATTATTATTATTATTTTTTATTATTTTTTTTAAATGTAGATACATTTAATCCAGTGATGAAGAAATCGAGCTTTAGAGCTTAGCCCACGCAACTTTTGCTCTCCGCTTTTGGACAATAATAAGACATTTTCCATCGCCGAGTTGTTATGATTTTGTTTATTCTGTTGAAACTGTAATATGTGAACGTATACTTTCATTTGATACTTCCTCATGTTGTCCTACGCCTCGTGTTGCGTAACTTTTAACTTCACATTTTTGTAAAGTTCAAGTGACACTTGCTGGTTACATGAGGGCACTGTACACTGAAAGCATGGAGAAGTGTTTGAACTCATGTCGAGTGTCTAAACAGACTCATTTCCCTCATAAACTGAGCGAGACTGACATTGTTTCATTCGAACTCCATCACATTTTGTGTTGTTGTGAAGAACTCACTCAATAATGTATTTATTTGTGTGTCGGACGCGATATGTCGAGCCCACATGCTGGTCATGTTGGCTGACGATGCTTTGTGTTTCTTTTCCCTGAACGAACTGAACTGAAACGCTGCGATGTTACATTCATTTTCTCATTGTCTGGTCCTGTCCACATTTTTGGGACTCTGAGCAAAAAAGTGACATATTTTCATCCTTTACATGAAACATTGCCTCCATGATTCTTGCGACAAAGTCCTGTCATTTTTTTTCAGCAATTTTAGTGATGAAACATGTGTTTTGGCAAGAAGAGTGATTCTGTATGATTATCCTTTTTTTTTTTGTCGGACGAAGAGACATTATTAAACCCCTGAAACAATTGTAACTTATCTCAGTGTGATACACTTAAGACTGTGAAAGATTTGCAATTTTGACAGATATGTCACTCCACATAGCCATTGCTTGACCATAAAATATGGTAACACGAGCGATTTCGAACTGTTCAATGGACTAACGTGTTTCTAAATTATTCTCAGAAGAATATTGAAGCCTATCAATGAAGAATGGAGAGTTTGCCTTGGCACGCGCTCGAAATACTGCACTCAAAACTGTTATTTTAGCATTTGCATCTAAATATAAATCAAATTATTATATGATAGAATATTGAAATATTTCGGAGCACGCTGCTTTAAAACATTTACTTGCATCAGGTAGGAAATAAGACCTTTAATAGTCCCAGCTTATACTTGTGCTACTGTTAATACAACGTTTTCATATTTGATATCGATTAATTCACAAAATAATGACTGTACAAACTGGAGCAGTTCATCAATAAATGTTAAATATTGCTAATCAAATGTCCTCGTGTTATTTGAGTACGCCTAAAATGTGAGACTCCCACTGAATAGCTACAGTATTTAATATCACATGCTGACTGGGAAATTAAATACGAGTTTTTGATTTTTAATGTCTTGATCGTTTTGAGGAAAGTTCACGATTTCACTTGTTGCCGCGAGACAGTTCGCTCGAGTTTCGCCAGATGAGCAAATATACATCTTATTAAATCGGATTTGCTTACATTTTAATTGAACTGAAACAACATGTGACACATAAAATGATTTTTATTTGAAAAAAGCCAACATAACATTGTATAAAGCAACATTTTTTGATAAACATGACAAAATGCGCTCGCACTTTGCATGCGCTGTGTGAGTTTACATCAGAATAGTTCAATAGCTAATTCACTAAAGACAGATTCGATATAATATAATAAAAAAAAATCATTCACAAGCAAAAACTTATATTTAAATAGCACTTGATTTCAGAAGCGAAACAGACCTTTTTTCCTCCCTTTCCGTTTTTAAAATTGATTTCTGTTACTGTTAAAAATCTCATTTCGTCCACCGCAGTTTAAACTCATCTTATCACACACGAGGACAGTTCAGTTTCGCTGCCCTGGTTAATCATTAATTTAGAGAGAGTTTACACTTGCTTAAACTGTCATTCAAATAACTGCTATATTCCGCAAAAACTGTGATTTTGACGAACAGATTCGCCTCTAAATCACTGGAGCTTTTCCAAAGTGCACCTAAAACTGACAGAACCTGCAAGTTCGATAACTGATCATGTTTCCTTTAGATAAGAATAACTTGACTGTGACCCTCTAGACTATTAACAATAACCTTTATTTATTTTCTACTAGTCACTCTTGACTACCAGTCAGGCCTATTTAGAAATATCATTATACTTAGAGTTCATCAAAACAAACGAGTTGTGGTCTGTTTGTGTTTTCTAAAGCACAAAACAAAATTCACAAGTATGATTTGGCATTGTTTGTACACCATAACCTCCACTTCTCACCCACCAAATACCCCTGAAGATTTCAAATAACACCCTGTTTCTCAATGTCACATCTCCTTTTTGTTTTCTCCCCTCTTGACGTTTTCGGCTTCTTTATCTCTTTAGGCCCATCATCGTTCTCTCAAGCCATCACTATTATCAGCCCCAAAATAATTAGAAGAGTGAGTCAAGCTTCCCCTCCCATTGTCACAGCAAACAGGACGTGGGCACACAGCTGGAAAGAAGTGTGTGCGTGGGGGGGACGTCTGAATTCAGGGCGTTCAGTGAAAACTTAGTGGCTCATCAGCACAATGATGATTTGAATATCAAACGGATGACGCACACACCCTTAAACGCACCGCGTTCAGAGCCCATCTTTCATTCGCTGGGCTGTGTGAGCTCAGGGAAAAGGCTGTATGGTCCACGCCGTGGAAAGCACAATGATTTCTTGCATGATTAATAGTGGAGAAAAGACCTTGTTTCCGCGAGACAGTTCGCTCGAGTTTCGCCAGATGAGCAAATATACATCTTATTAAATCGGATTTGCTTACATTTTAATTGAACTGAAACAACATATGACACATAAAATTATTTTTATTTGAAAAAAGCCAACATAACATTGTATAAAGCAACATGTTGTTTCTGCTCCTTTAAATTGATGAATCATTGGTGATTTTCCCCAGCTGGGTTTCGACTGCCTTTGAGTGGCTGCGGTGCCCGTAATTTATGGCTTTTCTGTTTGATGAGGTCAAAACGCAAAACCGGTTAATGACATCACCGGTATAACTCAGAACTGTAGACACACACTGTACCAGACAGCAGGTGCAGCGTGGACTCTTTCTATTCCAGTTATTCATTTGATCATTATTATTTCTTGAATTTTTTTTTTTTAAATATGCATATAGTTACAGCTTTTTAGCCAGAGATTTTATTTTTAAATAAATGTTTATTATTATTATTATTATTATTATTATTATTACTACCACTACTACTATTACGTATGGATTTGTTTTGGTCACACCGAATATGACACTTTTGGTATCTGCTTCAGAACACTACAACAAAACTTAAAGTGTGCATTATCAATTCAGTA